CCCAGGCTGGTCTCAAACTCCTGGGCTCAAGCAATCTGCTCATCTTGGCTTTCCAGTGTGCTGGGATTATAGGCGTGAGTAACTGCACCTGGACTTTCTTTTGAATAGATCAATTTTTAAAATAATTCTGTTGTTTTCCTCTGTCATTCTGGAAACTATAAATTGTTTTCTTATGTTTTACCAGTTACTAAAGTTACAACATACGTATTAATATATCGATGTCTATAGTTAACACCTATATGGACCTTAAAAACACTTTTAGGCCAGGCGCAGTGGCTCACACCTGTAATCTCAGCACTTTGAGTGTCCAAGGCAGGTGGATCACCTGATGTCAGGAGTTCAAGACCAACCTGGCCAACATGGTGAAACCCCGTCTCTACTAAAAATACAAAAATTAGCCAGGTGTGGTGACGGGTGCCTGTAATCCCAGCTACTTAGGAGGCTGAGGCAGGAAAATCACTTGAACCTAGGAGGTGGAGGTGCAGTGAGCCAAGATCTCGCCATTGCACTGCAGCCTGAGGGACAGAGCAAGACTCCGTCTCTAAAAAAAAACAAAAAACCCCACCACTTTTAAACTTCACTTATCCCTTTCCAAACTGTACATTTTATGGGATCGTATTATAATTCATTATTATTATTGCATTCCACACTTATTTTAGCTCACTTTTTAATTCTTCATTCATTATTACATCTCAAAAATATAAAATCACCTTCATTGTTTTTCTTTTGTGAGATTTCTTTTTTCTTGTCTTTTCCCTTTCACCTTCCCTCTCCTTCTTCCCTCCTTCCTTTTCTTTTCTTTCTTCTTTCTTTCTTTCTTTCTTTCTTTCTTTCTTTCTTTCTTTCTTTCTTTCTTTCTTTCTTTCTTTCTTTCTTTCTTTTTTGAGACGGAATTTTGCTTTTGTTGCCTAGGAGAGAGTGCAATGGCACAATCTCAGCTCACTACAGCACCTGTCTCCCAGGTTCAAGAGATTCTCCTGCCTCAGTCTCCCATGTAGTAGCTGGGATTACAGGCATGCACCACCACGCCCAGCTAACATTATGTATTTTTAGTAGAGATGGTTTCTCCATGTCGGTCAGGCTGGTCTTGAACTCCCGACCTCAGGTGATCCAACCTATATTACTGGAATAAACTCCACTTGATCATGATAACTATCCTTTTTTATATTGTTGAATTGTATTTGTTACAATTTTGTTTAGGAGTTTTGTACACATGTTTAGATGGATATTTGTGTGTAGTTTTCTTTCCTTATAATGTCTTTGTTTATTATAATAATGCTAGCCTTATAAAATGAGTTAGGAATTAGTCCCTCTTTTTAAATTTTCTGCAAGGGTTTCTGCAGAATGAGTATTATTTCTTCTTAAAGGTTTGATAGAATTCACTAGTGAATCCATCTGTGTCTCAAAATTTCTTGTGCAAAGATTTTTAACTGAAAATTCAAGATTTAGCGCCATTCAGGTTATCTAGTTCTTCTTGGGTAAACTTTGGTATTGTGTCAACTTAGATAAAGTTATTTCTCTATTTCCTCTAACTTGCAGAATTTATTGGCATAAAGTTGTTCATAATGTCATCATATGTGGTATCTACAGTGATGTTGTCTCTTAGCCCTAAGGCTGGTAATATCCATCTTCCCTCTTTTTTTTCTGATTAGTTCTGCTAGGAGTTATTAATAATTAACATTGCCAATCTTTTCAAGAAACCAACATTTGTTTCATTTATTTTCTCAATTTTTCTGTTTTCTATTTTATTTATTTCCACTCCAATCTCTCTTATTTCCTTTTCTTCTACTTACTTTCAGTTTAATTTGCCCTTCTTACTCTGGTGGAAACTGAGGTTATTGATTTGAGATACTTCTCCTTTTCGAATATAGGAATTTAGTAATATAAATTTTCCTGTAAGCTTTAGCTGCATCCTATAAATTTTGATATGTTGTTTTTAAATTTTTTCTTCAGTCCAAATTACTTTCTAATTTCTTTTTTATTATTCCTTGGCCCATGAATTATTTAAAATTATTTATTTTTCAATATTGGGGGATTTCCAGTTATTTTCTGTTATTGATTTATTATTAGTTTCATTGTGGTTAGAGACCATACTGTGTATGATTTGAATCCTTTTAAATGTTTTTACACTTGTTTTATGGACCAAAATTTTATCTGTCATGCTAAATTTTCTATGTGCAGTTTAAAATAATGCATATACTACTGCTATTGGTGGCATGTTCTACAAAAGTCAATTGGGCCAATTTGATTGATAGTCTTCTATGTCCTTATGCTCTTCTGTCTACTTGTTCTCTGAATTATTGAAACAGAAGTGTTGAAATTTCCAATCATAAATTATGTACTTGTCAATTTTTCTTAAATTTCTTTTTTAAAAATTATTTTATTTATTTATTTTGAGACAGAGTCTTGCCCTAACACCCAGGCTGGGCAAGGTGTTGGTGTAATCTTGGCTCACTGCAACCTCTGCCTCCTGGGTTCAAGTGGTTCTCCTGCCTCAGCCTCCTGAGTAGCTGGGACTACAGGCACGTGCCACCATGCCCAGCTAATATTTGTATTTTTAGTAGAAACGGGGTTTTACCATGTTGGCCAGGATTATCTTGAACTCTTGACCTCATGATCTGCCTGACTCGGCCTCCTAAAGTGCTGGGATTACAGGCATGAGCCACCATGCCCAGCCTAGATATGTTTAAATATACAAATACTTACCATTCAGTTACAATGACCTATAGTATTTGGTACCATAACATAGTGTACAGGTTTGTAGCCTAGGAGCAATAGGCTAAACATGTAGCCTAGATGTGTAGTACTTGCTCTCTAGATTTGAGTAAGTACATTATGATGTTTACGCAATGACAAAGTTGCCTAATGATGCATTTCTCTGTATGTCTCCCCAAAATGAGGTGACCCATAACCGTAGTATAAAAGCCATCTCAGTGTTTATGCTGTTGATGTCTGCATATGTTGTAAACTCCACAATGTGGGATTTGTATTTTTTTGTTTTAAATAGCCAATCATCTTTAAAGAAAAAATATCTTTTTTTTTTTTTGAGACAGAGTCTCACTCTGTTGCCCTGGCTGGAGTGCAGTGGTGCAATCTCAGCTCACTGGAACCTCTGGCTCCTAGGTTTAAGTGATTCTACTGCCTCAGACTCTCTAGTAGCTGGGATTATAGGCACCTGCCACCATGCCCAGCTAATTTTTTGTATTTTTAGTAGAGACAGGGTTTCACTGTGTTGGCCAGGCTGGTTTTGAATTTCTGACCTCAGGATCCCCCACCTCAGCCTCCCAAAGTGCTAGGATTACAGGTGTGAGCCACCACACCCAGCCAAGAAATTTAAATAAGAAAAAATTGTTTTTTATATATCCACATGGTTACTATTTTTGGTGATCTTTATTCCTTTGCCTGTAACCAGATTTCAGTCTAGTATTATTTCTTCCTTGCTCAAAGGACATCATTTAACATTCTTTTAAGGAGCCATCAGCTAGTGATGATTTACTTCAGCTTTTGGATGTCTGGAAAAGTGTTTCTTTCATCCTCTGTTTTGCATGATACATTTTCTGGGTGTAGATTCCTAGGTTGATAGTTTTTTTGTTTTGTTTTGTTTTGTTTTTTCTTTTAGAACTTTAAAGATTCGGTTCCACTGTCTACATACTTGCATTTTTCTGACAAGAAGTCTGCTATCAATCTTATTTCTGTATGATACATCATGATGTAGTTTTCTTCATGTTGCTTGTGTTGAGGTTCCTTGAGCTAAGAAAACTCATGTTTGTTTAGTTTTTATCAACTTTGGAAACTTTCCTGCCATTATTCTTTAAATATATGTTCTCTCTCTTCTTTCCTATCCTTCAGGGACTCCAATTATATGCATTTAGACTGCTGAAAGTTGTCCTACCTTTTTACTTATCTTTTTTTTTTTTGGTTTTTCCTTTCTCTGTATTTTATTTTGGATATTTTCTATTGTCCTCAAGTTCACTAATGTTTTCTTTTGCAATATGTCATCTGTTGTTTATCACATTAAATGTATTTTGTCATCTTTTATATGGTAGTTTTTACCTAGAGAAGTTCAATATGGATCTTATTTATATCTTCCATGTCTCCATCTAATATCCTCAATATTCCTTGTAACCTTTTGAATGCATGGACATGAATGTAAGGCATGTAGAAGACTGATTGTTATAGCATTGTATATAAAGTAGTTGTAAGCTTTTGGAAACAGCCTAAATGTATAACAATAGAGGAATGGCTAAATATGACAATATAGATTATAAAATAATAGGCAGAAAGCAAAGAGAAAGAAGCAATACTATATGTTCTGATATGTAAAGAGCTCCATAATGTATTGCTAAGTGAAAAAAAGTTGCAGAACAAATAGATACAGAATTACTCTCATGTTAAAAAATGCATAACGTACATATACACAGAAAAACAATATTATTTTCTATGGACACAGTGGTGGATAGCCCCTATTATTACTCCTAGTGATCCTCAATTCCTGGTATTTATCCTTTTGTATTCTTCCCACTCATATTTATTAGGACAGAGCTGTGTAACCAAAAGAATATTTCAGTATTGATGGTGTGTGACTTTCAAGGCTAGGTCACAAAAGACATTTTTGTTTCTGCTATGCCTTCTTGAACCACTTGTTCTGGTGGAAGCCAGCTACCACATTGTGAGTGTACTCAAGCAGCCCTAATAAGTCATATTTCCTAGTATTTTTAGTATGATTGTGTCTCATGCGATATTTGGGATATACTAATACTGAAATGTATTTGTTATTTATCTGAAATGCAAATTTAGCTGGCTATTCCATGTTTTTATTTGCTAAATATGGCAACCTTAGATGGAGAGGAACTGACGTTTGCCCATGGCCAATGACTGTCTCTTTGTCCATGTTTGGAAAGTCCCAGTCAAGCCATCAAATGATGCAGCCTCTGCATATTTATTTATTTATTTACTTATTGATTTACTTACTTACTTACTTACTTTTTATGGAGTCTTGCTCTTCATCTAGGCTGGAGTACAGTGGTGCAATCTTGGCTCACTGCAACCTCTGCCTACCAGGTTCAAGCGATTCTTCTGCCTGAGCCCCCTGAGTAGCTGGGATTAAAGGTGTGTGCCACCACGTCCGGCTAATTTTCATAGTTTTAATAGAGACAGGGTTTCACCATGTTGGCCAGGCTGGTCTCAAACTCCCGACCTCAGGTGATCCGCCCACCTCAGCCTCCCAAAGTGCTGGGATGACATGCGTGACTGAGTCACTGTGCCTGGCCTATTATTATTATTTTTTTCAGACAGGATCTCACTCTGTTGCCCTGGCTGGAGTGCAGTGGCATGATCATAGTTCACTGCAACCTCAAACTCCTGGGCCCAAGTGATCGTCCTGCCTCAGCTTCCTGAGTAGCTACGACTACAGCTGTGCACTGCCATGCCCAGCTAATTAAAAACATTTTTTTGTAGAGATGGGTGTCTCACTATGTTGCCTAGGCTGGTCTCAAACTCCTGGCCTCAAGCCATCCTCCTGCCTTGGCCTCCCAAAATGCTGGGATTATAGGCATGAGCTACTATGCTTGGCTCCCTACCAACGTCTTGACTGCAACTTCATAAGAGAGAACCACTCAGAACCACTCAGCTAAACCATTCTGGAATTCTTAACACCGCCCCTGTCTCCAGACACTGTGTGAAATAGTAAATATTTATCATTGTTTCAAGCCTCTAAGTTTTGGAGTAATTTGTTGTGCAGCAATAGCTAACTAACACAAGCACATACGCATTTAAATACATGGACAAAGAGAGGTTTGGATAAACTTTAATCCTTTGGAAAGGGACTGACTTCAGCAGTTGGAGTTTAGGGCAACCTCTATCTCTCTCTCTATCTGCCTTTCTATCTCTCTCTCTGTCCATCCATCTGGAGAATGTAATTATGCGGAAGGAAAAATGCATGCTATCCAAATATTAATTACCAATGTCTATCAACTGCTGTATTGATAAACAAAAGTCGTATTCCATACAATGGAATATTGTTCAGCCATGAAAATGCTTACAATACAATATAGCATTTCATGCTTATAACAGAGATGAACTTTGAAAACATGGAAAGTGAAAGAAGCCAGAAATAAAACACCACATAAAACCTGTGAGATTATAAATGTTTCTTGTTTAAGCCACTACATTTTGGGGTAATTTGTTACACAGCAATATATAACCAATATGGTAGGTATGTAAATATTAGTGTGACTAAAGGGGTATAGTGAAATGTCCAGCACATAAGAGGACACCATAATAAATGTCGGCTGGTATGAGAGGAAAAGATGTGTCCGGTTCCAGAGATTGTCCCTCATGGGAGACCAGGGACAAGGAGGAGAAGGGCACAAGGGCAGGACCTCAGTACTTGCCCCAGCTGGACAGAGTGCCTCAGGTCACTCTCTGCCTGCTCTGGAGGAAGAAGACATGAAACACACACACACTCCCTTACCCCTTAATCTGCATTTTCCCCTCTTAGGGTACTATTACTTTGTCCATAGCATAGAGTTATGTAAATACTAGTTATACAATATGTAACTAGTATATAACTAGTAACTAGTTAAGTAGCTGATATATAGTAGTTCAGTAGCTGATATTTCCAGTTGCCCATCTTCTGCAGGGAACCCCCTCTTTGCCTCAAAGCAAACAGTGCCCATCCCTGCTTGCAGGGAAGGACTGCATATGAGAGAAGGGATTACCTTTCTCCCGCTCGGCTTCTGTCCCAGGAGTGAACCCCTTTCCTGTTCTCTAGGGAGTCAGCTTCTTCCCATTCAGAGGAAAAAATGTCTGTGACTCCTGTCCCTTCCTCAAGGGAAGGAAATATGATCAGAGTGTTGCCAGTCTGACTGTGTGTGCAATCCTTTTAATGAGAAAAAAAATCCCAAGGACTCCTGGTGTTGACCAGTCAATTTTATCATATTACTTAAGTATTTAACCACATATAACTATATGCATATAGCTCTTATATGACTATTAAACTCAAAGCAAATTTACAAACTAAATACAAACATAATTGCAAAACCTGTAAAATTCAAGTGAAAAGACACAAATGTATATTTCTTTTCTTTTTGCATCTAAGTCACACCTCCTGCCAGGAATGAGCACCTGCCAGCCAGAGCACAGGTTCTCCCTGCGCATGTTGTGCTGCGCTTGCCAGGTAGGTCACTCACTTCTCTCCCCAGTTTTCCTTGATTTGAACCTTTACAAACCTTCCCTTCTAACAACACATCTTGGGGTCATTTGGTTACCAAGTGGTGTGAGCACATCATTTAGGTATCAGGTCTATCTCTGTTTGTTTTTTTTTCCTCCTCATTAGCTCTGAATAATTAAAGTAGCTAAAGCCACAGGTAAATAAATACAAATGGGGCCACTGGAACTGGGAGGCAGCTCTGAGTTTTAAAGTGGCCATCAGAGTTCCTTTTTTTCTTTTTTGAGATAGAGTATCACTCTGTCACCCAGGCTAGAGTGCAGTGGGACAATCTCGGCTCACTGCAACCTCTGCCTTCTGGATTCAAGCAGTTCTCCTGCCTCAGCCTGCTAAGTAGCTGGGATTACAGGCGTCCGCCACCACACCCGGCTAATCTTGGATTTTTGGTAGAGACGGGGTTTCGCCATGTTGGGCAGCCTGGCCTCGAACTCCTGACCTCAGGTGATCCTCCCGCCTCAGCCTCCCAAAGTGCGAGGATTACAGGCGTGAGCCACCGCGCCTGGCCTATTTTTATTTTTAATGTTTATTTTTTAAATTGGCAAGTAAACATTGTGCATATTTATGGCGTGCACCATGACATTCTGATACATGTATACATTGGGTAAGGAGTCCCTAGTTTTTAAAAGAAGGGTTGTAAAGCAGTTCGTGCCTGGCACTTTTCAGTAATACTTAGTTTCGTCCCAGCAGAGTCCCAATTCGTTTCATATTACCTTTGGTTGTTTGTCACTCGGTGTAAAGTTCTGGAAAGAGAGGTCCATATGGTAATCCCCTTTGTGCCCACACTGCCTAGCATAACGTTTTGGGCACGGGTGCGCAACCATTAAGTTTTCAACGAACGTAGTTGAACTCGCATGGAAAAGCAGCACCATCTTCTGGCTGAAGTGGGTAATGCTGCACAGGGCCAGAGAGCGGCTCAGTTAGAGGCTTGCAACTCAGGTGTGTGTGTGGATGCGCGCGCGTGTGAGTGTGAGCGTGCGCACGTGTGTATTCTAGTACAGATAAATGCACTCTTTCCTCACCTTTGCCGACCTCTGCTATCAGAGTTTTAGCCTGAGAATGGTTGAGGCATCCTGGCCTTTAGGGTGAGATGTTTGCTTTGGAGAAAACTTGATCTGAATTCACCGGTCTGCAATGTGGAGAATCAGGCCTAGAGAGGTTAAGGCTGGCTCAGGGTTATTCACCACCCTGCACGGTGGTGGCAGGGCTAGGCTGGAATCATCACTCCTGATTCTTCATCCAGGACTCTCAGAATTCCAGGGACCACCTTCCTCCTGAATGCTGAAGTTTTTGTCTTTCTAAAACCATAATCTTTGCAGTGGATGTGCAGCTTGGGAGAAGTCATTTGGTTATGAATGGTTGTAGGCAGGGAGCAAGGATGGCAAGTTGAAGGAAAAAGCATTTATTTATTGAACATGCTATGTGCCAGGTACCCTGTATGTATCTCTATGTACAGACTATCATCTTTACGATGGAGATGATTAATAGCAGCTCTTTCAGAGCATTGTTGTAAATAAAGTAATATAAATGTAGTACTATATGTAAAATGCTTACATATATTTAAAGTTGCTGGACTATAAATGAGCACTCATATGTTTTAGTTTCTATATCAGTTAGATTTTCTGGGATGCAGTTATTTGGAAACAGTCTGATCCTTTTCAGTCTTGCTTTAGTTAGGTAGCTTCGAAGGAGTGTTCTGTCTAGGACTAATTATTCGCCACTATTGAGGCATGGCTTTCCGGCATATTCTATTCTGTGAATTATGAGCTTTTCCAGTCTGGCTGGAGGCAGCAGGCACTGTTTCTGGCTCTGTGTGAGTCCTGGGCACTGTTCTCTCCTCCCTTCAGAAGGACCTCGGGTGGTTTCCTCACACACACGTGCTGATGAGTACACTGCTGAATACTTGACAGGGACCCTCTGCACATCTCTGGGGCTCTCTGTGTAGCCCTCTCCTCCCCAGTACTCTGTTCTAAGAATTCTGGCAACCTTGATTTCCTGGGACTCTGCTGTGTCCCCTCAACTCAGAAGCTCCTTGGCTCCACCTGGCTTCCCCCTGTCTGTACTGTGGTCTGGAAACGTTTTTCTGGGCTGTGAGCTGGGGCCATTGTAGAGTTCATATGGTTTCTCTGTCTCTCACATCCCATCCTTTGTGATCCTCCCAGTGTCCAGATTCTTGCCTTGTTATTTTGGCTGTTTCAGGCAGGAAGATAAATCTGGTTCTTGTTACTTCATCTTGGGCAAAACCTAAGCCCATCATTTGATTTTACAGCTTTCAACAGCAGCCATCTATTTACTCATGATTGGCAGGTTGGCGATTTGGGCTGAGCAATTCTGCTGGCTGTGGCTGGGCTCACTCCTGGGCCTGCAGTCAGCTGCACATCAGTGAGATGGCTTTGTTTCCTGGGCATTTGCTGGCTGTTGACTGGAGAGAAGAAAGTACCTGGACCACCTACCTCTCCTCCTCCAGCAGGCTAGCATGGACTTGAGGGTTCCTAGAGCACAAGAGAGCAAGCCCTTGTGATGAGCACTTTTCGCTTCTGTTCTAGAATCAGTTTTGCTATTGTCTCTTTGTCCAAAGACAATGACCCACCCAGATCCAAGGGGTTGATAAATGGACTTCAGCTCTTGATGGGAGGAACTAGGAGCTCTGTTATGATTCAGGTTCCTTATCTGTAAAAGGGAGTAGAGAGCACCTATCTTGAGGATTTGTGATAACATATAAAGCGCTCCTGTTTTCATGTGGTAGACAATCACTAGCTGGCTGCTGATTTTTATTCTTTTTCTTCTCTATCTACTATTTCTAGTGGTGGGGGTGGGGAGTGGGAGAGATGGGCTACAGCCTGCTGAGACCAACCTCCCCACTCACCTCACTTTGCTCAGCTGCCTGTGCTGTTGATGTTGCCAAGACAATGATGACATGTGGACCATCCCCAAAGGATGCTGTGTGGTAATAAACACCCCTTGGTCTGCCTGAGTGGAGTGTGTGTGTCTGTACACACACACATGCATGTACAGGTAGCAAACATCAGAAGAAACAATGGCCTGAAATTAGCAAAAAACAATTGTTTCTGGAAAAATTTGCACCACTTGCTTGGGAATCTGAAGGCAAAGGTAGGCACAAGCCAAGCTAGAGATTAATGGGCCTAAAGCAAGTAATGGCAATGATGACAATGGTGATAGTGATGGCAAGGGTGATGATGATGGTGATGATGGTGATGATGGTGATAGTGGTGGTATC